CCCGCCCCGGCCACACACACCCCCGGCACGCCACACGCCCCCCCCACCACGCCGCACACCCTCCCCACACCTTGGCCACGATGACCTCCTTCTTCAGGATCTTCATGGCGTAGTATCTTCCCGTGGCCTTCTCCTTCACCAGGATCACCTTCCCAAAGGTGCCCTTGCCCAGCAGCTTCAGGTACTCAAATTCGTTCATGGTCTGTGGGCAGTGCGGGCTCGTTAGCCCTCTGGCCACAGCCTGCTTGCCTACGCTCTGAGGACTCCCAAACCAAAGGCCCAGCTACCTGCTGCAGCCTCCGGCTGGACACACACATATGACGGTGACAGGGCCTCCAGTTGCCCCACAGAGCACTGGGGCCAAGGAAGGGCAGGGCCCACAGGCCGGGGGGGGGGGGCGGCGGGGACTGAGGCTTGTGGCGGAGCCGAGGCCCAGGCTGGCAGCTCACATCCCGCTGACTGGTGACGCTGTGGGACCCAGGAGCCTGTGGGTCCCACCACAGCCCCCTTTCCCGCGGCCCCTGGCAGGGGGGAGGGGCTGGGCTTACCACACGGTGCTTGGGTTTGGCCAGGGACACCTCCATCTCCTCAGCCCCCGAGTTGTCACTGGGTGAGCCTGACCGGAAGTCCATGGTCTCCTCCTGCCTGTTGAGTCCATCAGCCACAGTCTGGATGGCTGTTGTCCACTCCTCCCTGTGGGAGCCGGGAGGCCTCAAGCACCCGCAGTGGCTTGTCTCCCACGGATACCCACCCACCCCAAGCACGCAGGAGGGGGAGGGGAAGGGGGCACCCCTGCCCCCATGCAGCCCACACTGAGGAGCACACAGGAACCCTCCAGAACACCAGAACACCACGGTCCCATCCCTCTCCTCAGTGCTCCGTCCAGCGACAAGGCCTCCCTCTCCCCCTCTCCCCGCAGCTTCTGCTCCACACCCACACCCACAGGAGGACAGGGCGCGGAGGGCCTGGGCACTGGGAACAGAGCGGGAGCAGCCGAGTTCAGGCCCGCCGCGCGTAGCCCCGGGCAGCCCCCATACCGCTCCTCGGGCGTCTCCACGTGGAAGGTGCGCTCAATGACCGTGGTCCACTGCAGGCAGCGGATGATGAAGGTGTTGGGCCTGGGCCGCTCGGTCTTCATCAGCTGGCATTCTGGGAGAGCCGGGACAGCTGTCTGTGCAAGCCCCTCTCGTCCCTACAAGCCTCCAGTCCTGGCCCCTGGCACGTGTCCCTGGACTCCCCACCAGCACAGGGAGTAAGTTCTTCCCCTCCCCCACGCCTGTGTTCTTATGAAACAAGACAAAACCCCATTCCATCTGGGAAGCTCTGCTCCGGACCCAAGAGGCCCCGAGAGCACTCGCCTGGCACGCCGCCATCAGCAACCCCAGCGCCTTTCTTCCTTGTCTCTAACCCACATCTGGGGGGACTAACGCACCCGGAGAGCGCGCACAACAGGAGAGCGCACACCAGGAGGGTACGCACCAGGAGAGCACACACACCAGGAGAGCACGCACACCAGGAGAGCACACACACCAGGAGAGCACACACACCGGGAGAGCACGCACACCGGGAGAGCACACACCAGGAGAGCACACGCACCAGGAGAACACACACCAGGAGAGCACACACACCAGGAGAGCACACACACCGGGAGAGCACACACACCGGGAGAGCACGCACACCGGGAGAGCACGCACACCAGGAGAGCACACACCAGGAGAGCACACACACCAGGAGAGCACACACACCGGGAGAGCACACACCAGGAGAGCACACACACCGGGAGAGCACGCACACCAGGAGAGCACGCACACCAGGAGAGCACACACCAGGAGAGCACACACACCAGGAGAGCACGCACACCGGGAGAGCACGCACACCGGGAGAGCACACACACCGGGAGAGCACACGCACCAGGAGAGCACACGCACCAGGAGAGCACACACACCGGGAGAGCACACACACCGGGAGAGCACACACACCGGGAGAGCACGCACACCGGGAGAGCACGCACACCGGGAGATCACACACCAGGAGAGCACACGCACCAGGAGAGCACACACCAGGAGAGCACACGCACCAGGAGAGCGCACGCACCAGGAGCGCGCGCACACCAGGAGCGCGCGCACACCGGGAGAGCGCGCACACCGGGAGAGCGCGCACACCGGGAGAGCACGCACACCGGGAGAGCACGCACACCGGGAGAGCACGCACACCGGGAGAGCACGCACACCGGGAGAGCATACACCAGGAGAGCGCGCACACCAGGAGAGCACACACCAGGAGAGCACGCGCACCAGGAGAGCACGCGCACCAGGAGAGCACGCGCACCAGGAGAGCACGGAGAAAGCGCGTGCAGGGAGCGCGCGCGCACCGGGAGCGCGCGCGCACCGGGAGCGCGCGCGCACCGGGAGAGCACCCACCGGGAGAGCGTGCACACCGGGAGAGCGTGCACACCGGGAGAGCGCGCACACCGGGAGAGTGCGCACACCAGGAGAGCACCCACCAGGAGAGCACGCGCACCAGGAGAGCACGCGCACCAGGAGAGCGCGCACACCGCACACCAGGAGAGCGCGCACACTAGGAGAGCGCGCACACCAGGAGAGTGCGCACACCAGGAGAGCACCCACCAGGAGAGCACCCACCAGGAGAGCACGCGCACCAGGAGAGCACGCGCACCAGGAGAGCGCGCACACCGGGAGAGTGCGCACACCGGGAGAGCGCGCACACCAGGAGAGCACCCACCAGGAGAGCGCGCACACCAGGAGAGCACCCACCAGGAGAGCGCGCACACCAGGAGAGCGCGCACACCAGGAGAGCACGCACACCGGGAGAGCGCGCACACCGGGAGAGCGTGCACACCAGGAGAGCGCGCACACCAGGAGAGCACGCACACCGGGAGAGCGCGCACACCGGGAGAGCATACACCAGGAGAGCGCACACCAGAAATGCCATAGGCCGCCATGGGGCCAGAACAGGCCCTGCGGGGAGTGGGCAGCTGGTGTGTAACAGACCCTGCGGGGAGTGGGCAGCTGGTGTGTAACAGGCCCTGCGGGGAGTGGGCAGCTGGTGTGTAACAGGAGGCCTCTCAGCAGGACTGAGGCAGGTAGAACTTGGGGCCAGCAGAGGGGCCCTAGCAGTGAGGTCCAGCTGGGTCCTACTGAGTGGGCAGAGGGCAGCCTGCCAGGCCAGCAGGAGGAGCTAGCGTCAGGGGAAGGCCCATGTCGACAGAGAGCAGGGGGGGCGGACACCAGGCCCGCCCCCAGCCCCAGCCTCCTGCTCCGTGAGCCTGTCAGAGGCCACCACATGGGGCGCCAGCCTCCAGGGACACCGCTCCCCACCCGTGCTGGTTCTTTGCTGGATGCAAGCTATCAGTGACTTGTTTCAAGGCCCAACGTTGCCGCTGTTGGGCAGCTGCCGCTCCTCCAGCGCGAGGTCCTTCCCTCTGCTTCGCTGCTGCGCCTGGGCTGGCTGCCACCCCAGCCAGGCCCCGCCCTGGCGTACACACAGGTACACGGCCCCTCCACCTCCAAGGCCCGTCCTGGACGGAGGCCCTGGGCCCCGACCACCAGACACCCTGGCTCCACCAAGCCTGGGGCCGGAGGAGCAGAGGTTTAGGACTCCAGCGAGCACACGCAGGAAAGCTCACCAGGGAAGCGCCTCAGCCAGGCGCTGCGGCAGGGTCCCCGGCCCTGGCACGAGCAAGGCCCCCGCGGCAGAGGTCTCACCCCAAACCCACCCGCAGCAGGGCCAGGTCTGGGGACCCGTGACAGAGCAGCCAAGTCTCTGCTTGTAGACACTGAGGCTAGAGGTCCTGCCTCCTCCGGTCTGGGAGCCATGCCCCAGGGCAGGGGACATAAAGAGAGACACTGGGGTGACCCCAGGACCACAGCTTGACAGGGTAGAGCCTACTGCTGGCACTCCCTACCACGCGCTGATTTCCCACAACCAAACCCTACTAGCCACTGGGCCACACAGCATGCCCACCATCCCCTCGGCTGGCCCTGGCAGAGCTGACATGGGGCGGTGGCCTGAGAGCAGACTGGCAGAGGAGCCGCCCGCTCCAGCACCCCGCGACGCAGCCCTGTTAGGCAGAAAGCTGCAGGATGCCCGGCCGCTGCCTCCCCCTGCCTGAGCCCTGCGGCCCATCCCGAGGCAGCCGCCACCCACCCTGCCCGCCTCTGGGGAGGACGCTCTTCCTGGACATGACAGAAGCTGCAGCCATCCACCCCGGTCCAGGCTGTCACCACAGGCCTGGCCACGCCCCACCGCCAGCAGAGGCCAGGGAGCAGGGCAGCCTGCCCGGGAGGGAGCCTGCCCGGGAGGGAGCCTGCCCGGGAGGGAGCCTGCCCGGGAGGGAGCCTGCCCGGGAGGGAGCCTGGCGGGACTCAGCGGGGAGCCACCCCCATTAGGGCAGTGGCCTAGGGGACACTTACGTGCCACAGAGAAGTTGTTGAGGGGGGACTCCCGCTGGTCCACATCCTGCGGCCGCTCCTTATAGCCGATGAAGGTGCCGTCGCTCTTGAGGAGAAAGTAGCGTGGCCGCCAGGTTTTGATATATTCACCTGCGACGGGAGACAGCGGGTGCAGCTGTGAGAGGACTCCTGCCAGCCACGGCCTGCTGCAGAGCCCCTGCCACATGCTGAGATGCCAGGCAGGGACAGAGTCCGAGAAGACCACCGCTGGACATGGCAAGAGGCCCGGGTAGCGGGCAGGGAAGAGGTCCGGGCCGCCATGTGGCCTTCCCAGAAGGTCCTGAGACAAGGTACCATCCCTGGGCCCCAGGGCGCCACCCTGCTCCACCCGTGGCCAAGTCCCAGGAGGTTCCACGGCTGGGCCCCCGGGCACTCAGCTGAGACCGGCGCTGCGGCGGCCACTGCCTGCCCGGCCACCCAGGTACACGAGGACATTTCCCCTCACGTTTTGCAACATCAGCCCGAAACAGGCTCGCACAGAGGGATCGGAGCAGATGTCCCTGTGATCTTCTGGAGACTGTCATTTTTCATACTGACACCCGGAAAAAATGTTTCATTTACATTTTGCCGAGCAAGGAGTCTGAACAACAGGGGACTGATTAGGCAACTTTGTCATCTGAGGGGACACTGGGCCAAGAAGCTGGGGTCCTTGAGCCTGGGAGCTGAGTCCTCCGGTCACACTTGAGCCTAGACAGCTACGCCTGTCACCACACTGGGTCCCGCCTGCACGGCAAGGGCGGAGGCCTCAGCCCCCTGGGGAAACAGAGCCACAAGGCCAGGCGCTCAGGCGCTGCTGTGCCAGCCCAGGGTCCAGGAGCCACTCACTGTTTCCCGGGGCCCATGGGCATGGAGGCTGGGCCTTGCCCCGAAGCCCCGGCCACCTGCCAGCCCTCATCTACACTCAGCCTCCCCACAGAACACGCCAGACCTCAGCATTCCAGAGCAAGCCAAGGCCCAGGCTTGGCGGGGTGGGACCTGCACACTGTCAAGTGCACAGCCGCCCCTGCACGTAAGTCGGGCCCCTCCGGTCAGTGTGGGCAGCAGGGACTCCTCCAGGTCCCAGCATACCTGTGGGGTACACTGATGACCCTCTCCTCCCCCCCCACCCAACATCCTGGGAGCAGCCTCCTAAGCCCAGCTTCCTACAGCTGGGTCCAGGGGAAGCAGGAAGGACCTGAGCCCTGGTCAGGGGGAAAAAGAAGCAAAAGGCTTCCCACCCAGCCAGATGCATCAACCCTAGTGAGGCAGGGCCGCTCCCAGGGGAAGGTGGGACTGTGCTGCACCTCCCTGGCCCATAGTGCACACGAGGTCACCAGCACCCCGGGACGCACCCCACCTCCCGTCCCCACACACCTCCCCTGGCCCGTGCCAACCCTCCAGGAGGCGGCTGAGGCCCCAGCAATTCTGCCCCACACCCTGGGAACGTGGAACAGGGCCGTCACTCATGAGTCCCTGGAGCCACAGGCAACCTGGGGCGGGGAGGGTATGGGTGGGAGAGAACAGCTCAGGCGGGGGGCATGCACAGCCCAGCCCACCCCGTCCCCAGCCACCCACCATGCATGCCACCCGCCGATGCCAGTCTGGAGCTGTCGGCCCTGATGGAGTGCCTCCCATCCTGCCAGCTGCTGCCCCCCAGGAAGCTGGCTGCGCGGAGGGCTGACGAGTGCGGCAGCATGCCCCAAAATCCATCTCCATCCGCCACCTGCTGCCTCTGCCCAGCACCCTGCCCCGGCCCTCACCCTCGGTCCACTCCACCGCCAACAGCCCGGCCCCAGACTGCCTCACCAGCTCTTACCTAGAAGCCAGCTGAGGCCAGGGCTGCACAGGAGCTGCGACCCAGGACAGGGCGGGCCCGTGGCCGCTCCTGGCAGGGGCTGAGGGGTGCCGAGCCCCAGGGGCCCGTGAGGCCCTCCCATCCCCATGGGAGAGTCCACGGAGCCCAGGAGACACAGCAAGCGAGGGAGCAGCAAGGGCTTCCCCAGCCTTCGCCCGCTGGACCAGCACAGAAATCCTGGCGAGGAGGGGGCCCTGGGTGACCGACACCAGGCCCACCTCATCTCCCGCTCAAGTCCAGCCAGCCCCCGTCGCCCTGAGCCAGCGTCGGCCGAGTTCAGCCCAGACGAACACTCACAGGTGGCCAGCTCAGACCACGCCCCCAAGGCCCCAGCCCTGGGGGCTAGTGGCACAGGATGGACAAGTATGCAGGCGGGGCCAGCTGCAGGCTCCCGGGCCTGCCGTGGGGGAGGGGAGACGGGAGTCAGTGGCAGCCTCTTACCAAACCCCACCCCAACGGAGAGAGACAGCCCCTCAGAGTCCCCAACCTCAACATCCACAGAGGTGCTCCATCTGAGCACATGTGAGAACTCCAGCTGGGGAGCAGCGCCCGCCACCACCCGTACAGCCCACAGGGAGACCCACATCCCACAGACCCACATCCCGGGCCACGCTCCCCACCCGTACAGCCCACAGGGAGACCCACATCCCACAGACCCACGACCCGCAGACCCACATCCCGGGCCACGCTCCCCACCCGTACAGCCCACAGGGCAGACCCACGTCCTGCAGACCCACATCCCACAGACCCACGACCCACAGACCCACATCCCGGGCCATGCCCGCCACCCGTACAGCCCACAGCGAGACCCACGACCGGGGCCATGCCCGCCACCTGTAGAGCCCATAGGGAGACCCACGTCCCGCAGACCCACGTCCTGGGCCACGCCTGCCACCCATACAGCCCACAAGGCAGACCCATGTCCTGCAGACCCACATCCCGAGCCATGCACCCTGGCCTCCAGATGAAGCCTTGTAGACCTGTATGCCAGCAGACAGGCAAGGCCAAATCTGCCTTTCAGGAAAATCCAGGCTGAGGCTGGGCCAGCTCCCACTCCAACATTGCCAAGTCCAGCGTCCAGCCTGAGTCCCCATCTGTGTCCACACCGACACCAGGGCCTCTGGGCCTCGGCCCCTCACGTGGTGAGCGTGGCTTCCTCCGTGCGCCTGCCAGGTCCGGCCATTGGCCAGGAGGTGGCCTGGGCCTGCCCCACAACCTCCGGGCCGGCTCGGGCCTCTGCTCCCACTTGTCCCCGCAGGAAAGCGGCCCTGGAGGGGGCTCGGGGGGGCTTTGCTGCCCCGCCTGGCCCCCAGCAGCACAGCACAGGGGCTGCCCCCTGTGAGCCAAGCGGGCTGTGCCCCACCCTTACCCCGCGGCCTCCAGGCCCTGTCCCGCAGAACTGCTGGGTAGGCACTTTGCTTCGATGGCAGCAGGGGCAGGCGGCAGCTGGCAGGGTGCCAGGCGGCACCGAGCTGTTTCTCCACAGCAAAGTGAGCCCCAGCAGGCCTGGAGAGCGGGTGCCAGCTGACAGCGGCGACCGCACGGTCCCCCGCCGCCCACACATCCACCCCACCGACAGCTGCCGGCTACCCATTTACCTTCTCCAGCACATTGAGCAAGCGGCCCGCTGACGGCCGCCCAGGGCCCGCACACACCCAGCCCTCGCCGCCTGCTGGGAGCGGGCAGCACGGTCATCTCCAGGGCTCTGCTTGGACCCACAGTCCGACGGGTCACTCAGACCTGCAGGGTGCCACACGGATGGGCCTGGCGACCAGAGCCAGGCTGGGCAGGAGGAGCGCCCGCACTCGGCCCAGGGAGGGCTCGCGCGCTGCTGAGCCCTCGGGGCCTTTCTCCAGCAGGGCCCCCCCCACACTCAGGAAAGCAGAGAGGGCAGGGCCACTGTGCCCACTCGCTCCTTGGGGAAACCAAGGCTTAGCGAAAGGGACCCCTGGGGTCACAGGCCTGCTGGACGCTCTTCCCATGGCTGTGGACCAGCAACAGATCAGCTGAGGGAAAGGGATCTGGGGCACAGCCCCCCTCCCCCTCACATACACACCAGCACACAGTCACCTGGCTGGAGCGCCCCAGCCCCTTAGCTCCTTCCTGCCGCTCCAGGCCAGCTCTGGCCTGCGGCCCCTCCAGGTCACCTTCTAGGCCCCACACCACCACCCACCTCACTCATGCACTGCCTGAGGGGCCCAGCCTGGACCTCTCCACTCAGGCCCAGCCACAGCATCCGCCAGCAGGCCTGCTCCCTCAGCAGCAGTGTCTCTGAAATGCAATCATTTCTTTTCTCTCTCTCTTTTTCTTTCTTTGCTGGCCCCAGGGTTTGAACTCATGACCTAGGTATTATCCCTATTTTTTTTGCTCATACTACCACTTGAGCCATAGCTCCATTTCTGTGGGGTTTTTGTTTTGTTTTGGTAAGTCACAAGGCTTGTACCCAGGGCCTGGGCACTGTCCCTGAGCCACAGCGCCACTTCTGATTTTCTGGTTGTTAACTGGAGATAAGAGTCTCAGGGACTGGGCTGGGAAGGTGGCTCAGTGGTAGAGCGCTTGCCTTGCATGCCTGAGGCCCTGGGTTCGATTCCTCAGCACCACATAAGCAAAAAAAAAAAAAAAGCCGGAAGTGGCGCTGTGGCTCAAGTGGTAGAGCGCTAGCCTTGAGCTGAAGAGCTGAGGGACAGCGCCCAGGCCCAGAGTTCAGGCCCCACGACCGGACCAAAAAAAAAGAGTCTCAGGGACTTTCTCCCAGGCTGGCTTTGAACCACAATCCTCAGATCTAGGCCTCCCGAGTAGCTAGGATTACAGGCGGGAGCCAGCAGTGCATGGCTTTGTTGGTTTTTACTTTTAGTTTTTTGGTGGTTAATTGAAGATAAAAGTCTCACCAACTTTCCTGCCTGGGCTGGCTTCAAACTGAGATCCACAGATCTCAGCTTCCTGAGTAGCTGGGATTAGAGGCGTGAGCCACGGGTACCCAGATATTTCTTAAGGTTTAAAAAATGCATCTGTGGGGAGAAAGAAAGAATGGTCCATCCCACTGGGCACTGGGTGTGGCTCCAGACACAGGGCCCTCCTCCAGCCTGCCAGCAGGGGGCGCAGGTTTGGGCTGGGAGCTGCCTGGAAAGAGCACTGAAGGAGCAGAGCCTGCCGTGGTCTGCGCCACTGGAAAGTGGCTCTCACTAGGAACAGCACCGGACCGGCGCCGGCCCCAAGCCTGGCCTGGGTGTGCCGGGCAGAGGGAACACCAGCCCAGCCCGGCCAGTTCCCTCCACCTGTTCCCAGGACACGACTAGGACCCAGCCTGATGCCAGGCCGCTGGCCGGGGCAGGTCTGGGAACTGTCTGTGCACACACCAGTGCTACCTCTCTCCAGACCTCCATGAACCTCAGGGGGGAGGCGCTCCAGCTCCACCACCACCACCCCCCCAGGGCCAGTGGGGCCAGGAGGCAGCACCAGGGCCGGGGTGGCTCTGTGAGCACCCCCACTCCCAGGGACACCCTGTCCCAGAGGGCCAGAGAAGGGAGCGTCGCCAGTGTTGTGCACTGGGTCCAGGCTAGGCCGCATCGACCCTCGCTCCCCATCTCAAGGCCTGCCAGCTTCCTCTTCTGTTGTTTGTTTTGAAGAGAGAACTCAGTATGCTCACAAAACAGGAAACGGCCCAGCACAGGCCAAGTCTTGTCACAGCCACACAGCCGCGCTCTGCAGCCACCAGCCCACACCTGTCCCCTACACCCTCTCCCGCCCTCGAGCGTGGCTGTCAGGTGCTGACCTGCACACCAGGCATTCATGCACATGAGCCTGGCCCACGACCACTGCAGGGCCACTGGACACAGCCAATTCAACAGCCCAAGGGAGGGCCCAGGAGGTTCTGTGGCCCCGCCCACAGGTGCCAACGGGCAGTCAGCAGCCTCACCCAGCTGTGCTCGGGGTGGCCCAGCCCCACAAGCCCCTCCCCCTGTGCCCTGCTCCACAGAGTGGGGCCTCCTCCGATGGAGGGGGGGGGATGGCGGAGCAGGGCCATGGCACTAGGGAAGGCTAGTGCCAGGGCCTGGGCTGCATGGGGCAGAGGGGAGAGGAGCAGGAGCTGGAGGCGGAGGGTCTGTGCCAGGAACGGACACAGCACCACACACAACGCAGCCCACCGGGCCTACTTGTGTAGACACACACCTCCCTGCACGCAGGCGACTGCTCCAGGCAGGGATCCCGCCCTCCGCAGGCCACCCAGGCCTGCTCCCCAGCTGCCTCGCAGTGCAGCCAGGCTGCTCCCTGCCCCTTCTACTCACAGTCTAGCCCCTCGTCCCCAGCTGCACACCCTAGGCCTCCCTCTGGTCCCTTCTGGCTGGCTGGCCGGGCCACCTCCTGTGGGCCCAGGGACAGGCTGAGTGGACAAGAATGGGGCCCCAGCAGCAGGCTCAGCCAGGGCCCCTCTCTCAGGGATAGATGGCCCACACCTGGCAGGCCACAGGGCAGGTGAGCAGGGCCAGGCCAGACTTCAGGATGACCTCACCCCAAAGCAGTGCACACGCACCTAGGCCGCAGCACAGTCGTCCGCCATCCGAAAACTGAAGCTGGAGATGTGGTCAGCCAGAGATGACCCCGAGCTGGCTCCCAGGCCTTGCCTGAGCTCCTGTGACCAGATGTCCTAAGGTGGACTGCCCAAGCAGCACCAAGCCCTGTCCCCCCCCCCCGTCCACCAAGCCCACCCCTACTGTCTACCAAACCCTGTCCTCTGTCCACCAAGCCCTGTCCCCACTGTCCACCAATCCCCATCCCCTCTGTTCACCAAGCCCTGTCTTCTTTGTCCACCTAGCTGCCACTTGGCAGGCTACCTCTACTTAGCTCCGGCCTCACAGTTTGAGGCTCATAGCCCCACAGCCCCACTCCCTATGGAGCAGAAGAGGACAGGAAGGTCCGGTTGCAGGTCCGTGCCCTGCTGACTTGCTTCCGGTCCAGACCCTCAGACTGGGGACCTGTGTTCCTGTAGCACTCTGGCCAAGATCACCAATGGTCTAGACACTGGGATCACTCCCCAGAGGTGACGTCCTTCCAATGGGGTCCAGGAAGCCTGGGCTGGGAGCTGCAGAGATGGCCAATGACCTGTGTGGAGGACACCACCCCCCACCCCACACCCACCAGGCAGGGAAGGCCCACAACGGCATCGCAAGCCGCTGGCAGGGAACGCGCACGGGGGTTCAGCTCGGGGGCTGTGGGTCCGCACCACGTCCGCTGACACAAGGGGACAGACACCCCCTCCCCTGGCTTGTCACCCACCACCAGCACTGCACAAACGGAGGCTGAGGCCTGAGAAGAGTAGGTCAGCCGTCCTGACGTCCCAGCCCCAGTTAGAGCCTCCAGAAGCCACAACCCTGAGGGGCAGGCGGGCCTTCCCAGGGCCCAGAGGAGCGCTTGGCCCGGCCTGGCTCATCACCGAGGACCAGGAACAAGACTCACACAACTTCTCAGTCAGTCCTAAATCTTAGGTCGTTCAACAAACACATGCCAAAAAAGTGGAGAGGGGTCCCGGGGCAGAGGAGAGGAGGGGAGGGGTCCCCAGGCCAGAGGAGGGGAGGGGCCCCCAGGCCAGAGGGGGGAGGGGCCCCAGGTCAGAGGGGGGAGGGGTCCCCAGGCCAGAGGAGGGGAGGGGCCCCCAGGCCAGAGGAGGGGAGGGGCCCCCAGGCCAGAGGGGGGAGGGGCCCCAGGTGAGAGGGGGGAGGGGTCCCCAGATCAGAGGAGGGGAGGGGCCCCCAGGCCAGAGGAGGGGAGGGGCCCCCAGGCCAGAGGAGGGGAGGGGCCCCCAGGCCAGAGGGGGGAGGGGCCCCAGGTCAGAGGGGGGAGGGGTCCCCAGGTCAGAGGCTGGAGAGGTACAAGCACAGGCCTGGGAGGGCTAGGCAGCGAGACTCCCGGGGAACAAAGGGAACAGAAGGCAGGTGGCAGGCCCGCCTGCCCATCGGGAGGGGAAGCGGTGCCCCACGGACCTCAGGCTGACAGCCCCTCCCGGCTACTGGCCGAGCCTGTGTTCTGGTCTCCCTGTGAGCTCCGATGCACCGCCAACCACATCCTCAATCCCGGCTCAAGCCCCAAGGGCCCCATGTCTCACCACCACGGCCCTCCACACTCAGCCTCCTCTCCCTGCTCCTGCAGCTCCCAGGAGCTCCTCTGCAGCCTGTAAAACCCAGTCTCACAATACCCACTTCTGCCCCACCTCTTTGATGGGCTTGCCCACCCCACTGTTGCCTCCCCCACCATGTGCAGGAGGGGACGGGGGGGGGGCGAGGGGCACTGAGCTGAGGGCAGGGAATGAAGAGGCCTGCAGGAGAGGAAGTCTGGAGGGGCTGGCCCCCGCTGTCCTGGGCCAGGCTGTCCTGGGCCAGGTGCCCTGGCGGTGCAGAGCCCAGCCCTCACAGCCCCCGCATGAGCTGGCCCCTTCCCAGGCTCCTGGCGGTGAGGAAGGAGGCCCTGAGCTGGGGAATCCGGGCTGAGCGGGCAGGCGGCTGCTCTCAGGAGCCGGCCCACAGGCCCTGGGCCTGCTCGCGCCCTCCACCCCTTCCAGGAAAGCCAGGGAGGCCGGAGCGGTGTACGGTCCAGCAGCCCCACAGCCGCTCCCGCCAGGTCCCCCAAAAGACCACAGCCCCTATGGGGGGGTGCACCAGTCCGTCCTGGGGCACCAAGGACAGCAGCCCCTGGGGTCAGCGTGCTCAGACCGCACTACCAAAGCTCCCCTTGAAGGAGGGAGGCCCCCCGGAGACCCAGCCGCCCCCCCGAGGCCCACACCCCAAGGGGCTCACCTCGTTTGTGCAGCCAGCCCTCCTTCACAATGGCCCCGTCGTTCATGGTGCCCGTGTCCCCACAAGCCGGGGACTCCAGGGTGCTCAGGTCCTCTCAGCAGGCCGCGCCCAGGTCTCTGGAAGAAGCAGCAGAGAAACTGCAGTAAGGCCGTGTCTGGCCTGGGATCCGCTCCCCGGTGCCCTCGGCGGGTCTCCGTGTCTGGCCTGGGATCCGCTCCCCGGTGCCCTCGGCGGCCGGGACCACATCCCCGCTGACTGGTCAGACAGGCCGCAGCCGCTGAGAGCCAGCCTTCAAGGCTGCCACACACGCTGCCCTCCCGGTCTCAGACCTGCCACCAGCTCACCCCCGGCTCCTGGCCTTGTGGCACACCACCCCCATCTCCAGGAGGCCCCCAACCAGACCAGCTGCCCCGCTACTGGGCTGCCTCCTCCACGCAGCTCTCCAGTGGCTCCGGTCCACTAAGGTAGTGAGCGCCTTCCCTCTGCACTACCCGCCCGTGGTTTCCACCCCTCGGCTGGGGCCCTGGGGCAGACCCGGGCTCCCTGCTCCCACAGGGAGAGCAACGCTCCACACGAAGGCAGGAATGAGCTAGCAGCCACAGAGCAGAGCCCCTCAGGCGACCCCAGGCCCCACCAAAACCGCAGTCCCTGCCCCTCTGAATCTGGCTTATTCATGCAGCCAACGTGTACCGGGCATCCCTGGTCCCTGGTTCTGCCAGGTTCTATACCAGGCGCCAGGGACAAAGACACGTTCAGACAGCTTGCCGGTGATGAGCAGCCAGTGCAGGGCGGTTACAGAGCCACAATTACAGCGTTCAGGAGCCCGCAAATGGGCAGGCCCCATAGGAGCCCAGGCCCTGCCGTGGCCCACCAGCTCACCCTAGCCAAAGCATGCTTTGTGGATGCTACAAGTCCTCCCCCATTGCTCTTCCACTGGAAGAACTCCTAGGCATCCCTCAAGACCCAGTTCCCACATCACCAACGTGGGGCCTTCTGGGGAAGAGCACTTGGACACTTCCACCAGCAGGCCTGGGATCCCCCAGATGGCCCCTCGCTGGAGAGGGGGCCAGGCAAGACCACTGCAGACAGGACACGAACTCCCACCAGGACACCTCTCTGGTCTCCTGGGCACAGGCTAAACACCCAGACTGTCCCTGTCACCAGCAGAAGAGCAGAAAGGCCCCACTACCAAGACAGGGAAGACTGCATCTGGCCCAGGGAAAACCAGAGTGCAGGAAGTCAGGCCCAGCAGGGCTCAGAGACACCCAGGTGACACCCAGGGAGCCAGGCCTGGAGGCAGAGGCTGGACGGGAGACCTCGCGGTCCCTACCCCCACCCCAGGATGAGGCCTGCCACCCAGTCAGACAGCTGTCCAGAGCTGTGTGTAAAAATACCCTGTGCACAGCCAGTGTGTGCACGCCAATGTGTGTACATCCAGTGTGCGCAGCTAGTGTGCACAGCCAGGGGCAGGGCTGCCCTGGACCCGAGGCCTTCCCAGGCCCGCAGGTTGATTACCCAGGAACTCTGTGGAGACCCCACCCCTGAGGCACTGGCCACCCCAAGGTGCCCACCCTTCACTTTGGCTGGTCAAGACTGGCGGGGGGAGGGTATGAGGGGGGGGGGTTCTGACCACAGAGCCCAGGCCTAGCCCCTCAGGGCCCCACAGTCCCACCCCGGTGGAACTTAGAAGCCAGCTGGCATCACTGACCAAATCCACCATGGGTCTAAGGTCCCCAATCTGGGGTGGGGTGGGCAGCTCCTCAGGCCCCAGCTTTGGGGTGGGGTGGGCAGTTCCTCAGGCCCCGGCT